TATTTAAAAATAAACACTTTCTCTATTTTCTCGTTTGTATGGTAATACGAAATTAACACGAAACTTACATATTTAACTAGTATTATAGACATAAAATGTTAATTATTTATAACTATTTATTAAGCACTGACATAATTATTATATAAAAAAAGATATTTTTACTTATTATTATTATTATATTTATTTAAGTTTAATTTTTAATTTGTAAAAAAAATATTAACATGAATTCAATTAAGTGAAAATAAAATATTAGCGATAAATTTTTTATTCAAAATTTATATAGATCAACATTAATACAAATACGAACACGACATGAAAATAAACAAGTCAACTCGCAACTTGACACGACACAAATAGTTAATTAAGTTGAGTTAAGTTTGACTAATGTTCGACACAAACCGGTAATGACTCAACACGACTCAATTGTCACCCCTAATCTTAGTCGCACAAAAAAAAAATTAGTCATTTTTACTTTTTATCCATCCTACCAAATACAAAGAAAAAAGAGTGTATTATTCCTACTTTCCTTCCTTGAATAATAGAAAATGTATTTCTGTTACTTTTCATTCTTTATACCAAACAGAGCATAAATGATGAAAAATGTATCTGTCTTACTTTTTATTCTTCATAATTTTCATCATTCCTATCAAACAAAGTATTAATTTCTTATCCTCACAAAAAATAATTTTTTCTGTCTTGTAAAATGGAAGTATTTGATTTTTTTGGCGCATGAGTTTATATAAAAAATTCTTGTTAATGAGTGATTGTAAATATAAAATGTTTTAAATTGTTTGTCTAATATTATAGTTAATAAATTAAATTATTCACTTATAAAAGTATAATAATGATTAAGATTAATTTAATTTTCATCTAATTTTATTTTATGGTACAAAATTCTTTTAAATTATTTTTAGTCCAAAAATATCATCTAATATCAGATAACTCACACGTATCTCTCTTTTAATTTTTTTCCGTCTACTGAAATATTAAAATATGTTATTATAAAAAGAAAAATTTTTTTATTTAAAATATAAATAATTTATGATCAATATTCGATTTTTTGTATTAATGTGTTAAGGTATTAAAAAAAAGTCATTTAAGATAAATAACGAGGCTCTTTACGGATTATAGCGCCGTCATTTAACCGCCATCAGAAATATATAACCGAGGGGCGCCAATAAATGACACGTCATACACCGCCTCCTTAATATCTCCGGCGACCTGAACTATAAGAAAAAGGAAAGAAGACAACAAAATTCTAGTCACATTCCAGCGGTGTATTTGTATTGACAACGTGGTGACAGCCATTACCCAGCTGTCGTGGGACCCTTGTGTAGGTCCCACTGCGAGTACCCACTGCCCAAAATCCCAATATACCATTCTAACTTCTCCCCAAATTATCGCCGCATTCAATTCTCATAATTTCTATCCAATAATGAATAAAAAGCCCACGAAATCATTTCAAAGGTTTTTTTTGGTGCCCTATATTTTTTTAGATTTATTTAAAAGAAAGTGTGTGAATAAGTATTTTATTTTATTAAATTATGACACTAATTTAATTTTTTATTCAGTTGTTTAGATAAATTAAAAAGTTATACTACTTAGTATAAAAACATGATTTCATCAATTATATACACTAAATTTATTGTAATAGTAAACTCTTTTGCGTAATGATAAATTTAACTTCGTGTATATAATTGATGTAATCATGTCATGATATTAAATGATATAATTCTTTAATTTATGTAAATAATTGAATGATAAATTGAGTTGGTGTTTTAATTTCATGTAATTATTTGATATAATTGTTTAGTTTATTAGCATACATGAGTAATTATTAGGTGTATTATAATATAACTGTAACTAATTAGTGTAATTACGTTGTTGTAACGTTGATATAAAGAGAGAGAGTATCGGTGAGAGAAAATAGGGGAGAAAGATGAAAAAATTAAAGCAAATCTTTTGAAAAGAAATAAACTATCAATAGGGGAGAGAGAAAGAGGATAGATAAAGAGAGTAACGGGGGGAGAGAAATAGAGAAAAAATAGGAAAAACAGAATAAGAGAGTAATGGAGAGACAAAGATAGTAAGAGCAATGGAGTAATAAATGAATTTTTAGTTTTTTTTTTCAAATGCACTTATGACCAAATAAGTTTCTTTAACGTAGTTTAACTCAATTAAGTCTAAATTTTTGTATCAGCTTTCAAAATTCCCTAATTTCAAAGGTAACCTTGTAGAAATTGTAAATTCAAAAATCACGACTTTAAAATTTGACAATTTTTTAGGCCTGGTCCATAAAAGATTTATTATTCATAAATTCTCTAATTTCAACGTCTTTGACAGAATCAATAAAAAATTGATCGAGGTGCATATAAACTGTCTTGAACATCACTAACAATAATACTTAAAAAGACATATAATAATGCTCAAATTGTTCATGATTTTTGAAATCAAATAGATTTGATTATGTTTTTTTTTCGAAACTCAGTAATGACAGAAGAATTGTATATTATTACTAAAGTCTCCTCGTGTAAAACACTTTTTTTAAAATACATGAATAGAGTTACTATAATTAAAAAATTAAAATTAAAATAAATTATTATGGTTAAAATATTAAATCGTAATATAAACTATCGAATTTAAAAAATTTGAATCATTGTTGTACTTTTCTAAGTAAGGAGTTTAAGCAACTCAAGTAGGGGTGTCTTTTTTTATTTATATACTAGTTATTGTTTGTGGTTGAAGACACAGATTAAAAAAAAATGATAAATAATAAATATATTTGTATTTATATCAAAAATCAAATCACAAACATAGAAAAAAAATAAATAATTTAAGCATCGATTTATAGTGAGGGTGAAAAATGATGGCGACAATGATGATGGTTGTGCTGGGTGGCAATGACTGTAGTGATGGGGGCAAGGGTAGGGGCGGTGGTAGGGGTGGTGGTGGGGGTGGGGTTGGTGGTGACGGCAATAGTGGTGATTGCGGCCGCGACGACGATGGTGGTGGTGGCGTTAACGGGGGTGGTGGTGGTAGAAGTAGTGGTGGGGTGATTTCAAACACTATTTTTTTTAAAAGTATTTATGAGAAATAATTTGTAAAAGTACTTTTAAAGAGTCACTCCAAACACACTCTTAGGGCCTATTTTTGCTATTAAATTTAGGGTGTTAATATTAACAGTTAGATTGACTTTAATGTAAAATTTAAAGCGATCTCAATCGCGAATAGTAAAAGTCATTTTGTTTATCTTTTGAAATTTGAATTATAATCTACTTTATTATATAGATAATATAGATTTCATATATGTTATTATTATAAGCGACAATGATTATTATCAAAAAGTAATTACGTACATTCGTGAAACCAAAAATTAAACTAAGATAAATTGATTAAAAATTTTCAATTGTTTACAATTATAATAAACTCATTCATCCAATTTTTTGGACTTTATTCGATTTCATCCCCAATAATTTGTGAAGAATCTCTTTTTGAAGAATCTCTTTTTAAAATGTATATAGTTAGTCATGTCTTAGATATAACAAATAACTAGAAACGTATAAAAGTGGCTTGGGGCAAAAAAGTGTGGCTAATATATTTTTTCTATAATTAAGATTTCTGTTTAAATTATAGAATAAATTTCATCTACACCCCCCTCCGGTTAGACTCAAATTGAATGACACTCCCTTTTAATTTTGAAATTTAACTGCACTCCCTTCTGATTTGTACTATAAAATCATTGACACTTCTTCTTGTTAACATTCATCTTTAACAATAAAAAAAATGAACGATTTGATTAAATATTCTTTCAAAATGTTAAACTTACCTTTTGTTATGTTAATAGACTGAAATGCCCTAAACCCTTTGACCATGTTATAAGTGCCCTAAGCCAATAACAATGGTCACAAATTCTTAGCCATTTCTACATATTTCAATCACATTAACACCAACAGAAAAATGAAAAAAAAAGAAGATATTTAGCATATTTTCAAACAAGAATGATTGAAATTGAATATGAAAAATAAGCCTTAATTTGAACACTGTTCTAAGCCCAAATTTAAATACCGTAAAAACCCTAATTTAACATATACGAGAAAGGAATAGAATTCCCTAAAAATGTTTTTTTTTTGATTTTTTTTTTGGGAGAGGGAGAGAAAGTTGAATCCTTGATTTCAAGAAGATAAAATATATACAAGATAAGGAGTATCGTTGACAAAAAAGGGCCTTGGTAAACCCCTAAATATGTTCAGTAAGAGGATAGTGGAGGAAAAAAATTCTCCAAATCTAAAAATATCCTAGATTCAAAAAATGTCATAAAAAACCTAAGTGATTCGGTACATACCAGAGAATCATTGATGTCCACACTTCGAAACATTTGATGCGTCAAATCGTAAAAATCTTCAAACCTTTTACAATTTTTTTCTTCCTTTCTCTCCCTCTCTGCCAGTAACAATATCGATAGAATGGGAGCAGTTACACAAAAGTGTTTGATAGGGTTTAGGTTTATTAAATAGGTGGTATTAACTAAGCCCAATCATAATTAATATTTTAGGTTAATTATGTATACATATTGAGTATAGAAGTTTAGCACATATAAAATATTGAGAGACATTTCTATAAAACAATACTCGTTAAGTAAACAATAACTGACAAGAGACATCAATAAAATTTTAGAATTTAAAAGGAGTGTCATTAAATTTGGGTCTAATTATAAGGAATATAGATGAATTTTACCCTAAATTATAGTATAATATAAGAACATTATATTATTATAATGAAAAATACCATCTAAATACCTCGATAATTTGAGTTAGTATTTTTTTAAAGAAATTACACATTAACATTTTCTCGCGGCGAGTTATCCACGAAAAAGGATTCCCCACCCCCCAGAATTAACTAACAGAAAACAACTTGAGAGAGAGAGAGAGAGAGTCTGTACTATACAACGAAGCGTTAAATTACACTCAGTCCATGAACCCATAGATCATAGATGTTTCTGGAGCTTAAATCTTTCTCTTTTTCTCTCTCATCCATAAATCATTCTCAATTCTCTCTGTCTCTCCTGATCGACCCAGAGTCTGGAGTGAGAAACCAAAGACCGTAGACATAGAAGAAACTACTACTACAACAATGGATCCATGTCCGTTTGTTCGCCTGATAGTCGAATCACTAGCTCTGAAACTACCTTCAGCCACCAAGCCGGCCGGTCCAGGACTAGGAGTCCACCCATCAACGACGCCGTGTTTTGCTAAGCTCAGAATCAAAAACTTCCCTTCCCAAACAGCCCTTCTCCCACTCTGCTCCACCACCGACTCTTCTCCACCGGACTCCTCCGCTTCCTCCTCCAGCTTCCACCTCGACTCCGCCACTCTCCGCCGCATCTCCGGCAAACCCATAATCTTATGTGTCTCTGTCTTCACTGGTCGAATGGGTCGCACCTGTGGAGTCGCTAGTAGGAAGCTACTGGGTCGTGTACAGGTTTGCATTAACCTTGATAATGGTGCTGAGTCCAGAGGTTCTGTGTTTCAGAATGGTTGGATGAAGCTTGGGACTGAACCGGATAAGCCCGTGGCTCGGTTGCACATTAGGGTTCGCTCTGAACCGGACCCCAGGTTTGTTTTCCAGTTTGGGGGCGAACCAGAGTCTAGCCCTGTGGTTTTTCAGATTCAGGAGAACATTCGGCAACCGGTTTTCAGCTGCAAGTTCAGCGCCGACCGAAATAATAGGTCACGGTGAGTTTTCATTGTCACCCGGCGCATTTTAGTGGTGAGCTGTTTTGCTACCGTGCGCATTTGCTTCCTTTCTCTCTCATTACTTTTTTTGGGGGTGGGTTTTTTTTTTTTTTTTTTGGGGGGGGGGGGGGGGGACCTAGCGTGCTGGTACGGGTTGGGGTAGTTTTCTGCTGAAGTATGCATATGGGTCGTCAATTTCTTTAACTGGTCAGCCTGGTCACTACCTGCACATGTCAAATTGGGCCAGTGGTATCCCCTTTTGACCTTAAAGTGTAGGATAAGATTAAGGTATAGAAGGATTTTATGTGTCCGAAAGTTTCGATTCATTCAGATGAGGTTCATATAAATTAATTTACTCTATAAGAATTATTTGAGATTATTATTCATTCATTCGATTTTTTTGAATCGTGACTTGATATTACGGTATTCATTTCCTGTACTTCAATATATCTTGTCTGGTATATTTTATGGTAAATGCAATACCAACATGACAATTAAAGAAAAGATATACAAGACAGAGCTAACTATACTATTGCTTTGAGTACCTTGGTTTGCTTGTTTAGTTCTAAGCAATTAAATGAAGAGATCATGAATGAATTTGATGCAAAATTGTGATTGAAAAGTTTTCTGCTTTATTTGTGGCTAAAGTTTGGTGGAACTCTTTGTCAATTCTGCAAGTTATCCATCAAACTTGTTTATCCATCGTCAACTGTATTCTTTTGTGCGGATCTGGTTCAAAATATTCTGGACCTTATGCTGAATTTTCAATTATGACCTAAGTAGATAAACTTCGTTACCATGTGCACTTTTCTTTTCTTTTTTTTTTTTTGAGGGAAAAAAGAAGTGTCTTGACTTCTTACAAGCGATTTTACGATCAAACGTGCCTTGGATTCTTCATGTGTTTTTTAGAAAATGCCAGTCTACCAAACGGTTTCCTCCTAATATTAAGACATTTGTATTATGATCAAAGGTTGTTTACTATCTAGCCGCACACTCAGTTTGGTCAAACACAGCATATCAAATCCTCTCTCCAACTGCCATACAACTACCATGTTTCATCTCCCATGTGCAAAGATTTGGTTATAATATGATGCTTTCCATTGTGTGATGATATCCCTGTTTGACTTTTTTCTGTCTTAACAGTCTCATTTCTTATTTTGTTTAATTAATGGTGCTGAGTTTTGATAGAGTTTTTTGTGTTTTACCGTTTGCCCCTTGGTTTTGTGCAATATACCAGCGCTCTTCCAACTGATTTCAACGCCAACAACAGAGGATGGATGAGAAGAACCTTGTCGGGTGAAAGAGAAAAGCCAGGAAGGGAGCGAAAGGGCTGGATGATAATGATCTATGATCTCTCTGGCTCATCCGTTGCAGCTGCCTCGATGATCACTCCATTTGTCCCCTCACCAGGCTCTGATCGTGTTTCTCGATCAAATCCTGGCGCATGGCTCATCCTCCGCCCTAATGGCTTCTCTGTTAGTAGCTGGAAACCTTGGGGTCGTCTTGAGGCTTGGCGAGAGAGAGGGTCAATTGATGGCCTTGGTTACAAGTTTGAGCTTGTTACCGACACTGGGATGACTAATGGAGTTCCCATTGCTGAAGGTACCATGAGTACTAAAAAGGGTGGACAATTTTGCATCGATAACACAATAAAAGATTCTGCATTGAGCTCAATGTTGCCAGTACGAGGATTTGTAATGGGTTCAAGTGTCGAAGGTGAGGGAAAGGTGAGCAAGCCCATGGTTCAAGTAGGGGTGCAGCATGTGACTTGCATGGCCGATGCTGCCCTATTTATCGCCCTTTCAGCTGCTATTGATCTCAGCATGGATGCTTGTCGGCTTTTTACAAATAAGTTCAGGAAGGAGTTTTGGCATGATCATGTTCAAGACTCATTCTCCTAAAACCTTTTAAAAGAACTCTCTGCAAGTTTCCTTTTCATATGCAGTGATAACCAAGAGTACTAAACCACTCTGGCTTTGAGCATGGAAGATATTTGTGCCATTTTTCCCCCATTCTTTTACCCGGATTTTTACACCTTTCCTAAGGTTATATAACATCTCCCTTCCCTATATGAGAGTGACCTAATGTTTGGTTTGTGAAGCTGATTTGACTGATTCTCTGCGGTCTTTTTCGCTTTCAATGTTGCTCTATCTTGCCGGTTTTGATTCTTTGTTTGATTGGTTCTTATCAAGAGATGATAATTTAGAATTTTCTTTCATTACATAATTATTAGATGAAGTTTATGTAGTACATATGACACTGTACAGACCAAAAAAACGTTGTTTCATGGCATCTATGTATTTATTTTTCAATCACATCTTTGTCTCTCTTTTTGCCTGTATGATTAAATCATAGTGCTCCTGATCCTGTATGCTGACTTTTCACTGATATACTGTTTAATTTGCGGTGACAAACAAACAATTCTTGATTGCTTTCTTATGCAGAAATGTGGAATGTATTCAATGCTTAATAATTGAGTACTTCTAAGTGAAACCATGTTAGGCGGTAGATATGAATTTAGCAAGGTCAAAGCTCCTTTTGGCAATTGCAATTATGGTGACATGTTCTTTCTTGTGAATTTTGTTGTTTGTAGTATTCTAAATATAATAAAATTATTTATTAAAATTTATGATATTGTGTAACTTAAAATAAAATAGTAGTAGTCAAGTGCAAAACAGTTACACAAAAAATTAAAACAGTTACAAAAGAATTAACAAGACAGTTACAATAGTTTTAATGAAATAGTTACATGTAGCTGTTTGTTTAATTAATATAAATATTAACCTGTTTGTAGAATAGTAATTGTTATTAAATTTTAAGTAGATCAAGATTAGTGTTTGACATTATGTCCTTAAGACAGATTTTGCTCCCGTACACGGTGCTTATATAATATAAAACGTCTGTCTCTCAAAATACAATGATCTTTACACGAGTAGAAGTAACACTCTAATATATTCGTTTAACAAACCAGAATTTGTGTTGTATAATCTCCAAATGTAGATTGTCTTAATGATATATGAGATAGTCTTAAATGACTACGAATGTATTTGGATTTATTGGATACAAAATAATTATGTAATTGAGTTATTTATAGAGAGAATTATGACTGATCCGGACAGTCATCATATGAACGAATGCAACCCAACAAACGTATGCAGTTAGAAGATACCACTTGTGTAACTGCTTGAACAGACACAACTCAAATTTCGGACTGGAGTGAAGCAAAAAATTCGAACTAGTGCGATCCAATGGATACCGAAAATTAAATTTCGATTTAAGAAATTTACGCTCAATTAATTAAATGAATTTTCTCAAAAAAGATAAGCTTGGTCTAAACTATACTCGTACTCGAACCTAGCCAGGTCATGGCGAGGCGGGCGAGAGGTAAAACCGAAGGCATGTAGGCACCTGTTTCGCTCATAAAATTATAGTACTCTTTAGGGCCTAATCTCGTAGAACAAATTTGGTTTATATATGCTCATGTAGAATTTCTTTCTCAACTAATGCGGGATTGATGTCAAATTTTACATTGCACAACCTCTATTTTTACATTTCAAGAGAATTACTTTAGAGCTTATTTTCTCATTCATTTTTGGGTTAATTATAAATTACACCCCAAAAGATCGTTCAAATCTCAATTTGCATCCTTAAAGCTAGAAATTTGTATCAATGTGCACCTAAAACTAACCGTCGTCAGTTTGTTGCCTAAAATTAAATTGATAAATTATATATACATCCCATCATATTTGTCACTTAATCATTTGGACCCCTTTACATTTAAAATATTACTCCTACATCTCACGACGTTTGTGCACGTGTAACACATAACATTTTTTCGTTGATATCTGTTAATATAACCGTTAAAAAATATGATTTTATCATAATAAAAAATTATAATTTTATATTACCCTTTATTTTGTGGGTCCAATATACTCTAAAGTTCAAAATCAAGTTTATCATTTAAATATCCAATATAATGTAGGTATTTATATAATATTTTTTATATGCAATGCAATACATCACTTAAACATAATTATTTGAATGCCCAATTGGGGAGACATTTTAGATTGAAAGTATTTTTATTAGGATTTTATAACCGTTAAAAAATATGATTTTATTCTAATAAAAATTATAATTTTATATTACCCTTTATTTTGTGAAGGAGTCCAAATGATTAAGTAACAAGCATAAGGGGATTTAGATATAATTTATCAATTTAGTTTTTAGGCAACAAACTGACGACAGTTAGATTTAGGTGTATATTAATACAAATTTTCATTTTTAAGGGTGTAAATTGAGATTTTTGATATTTGAGAGTGCACATTGATACAAATTTCTATCTTTAAAGGTGAAATTGAGATTTTGATCTTTGTGGGTACAAATTGAGATTCGAACGATCTTCGGGGTGCGATTTACAATTAACCCTTCATTTTTTATTTGATTTAAACAAATAAATATATTAAATTATTCTCCTCACGAAGTAAAATACAAACTCACGAAAGTTATTTAAAACAACAAACGAGTTTCATTTTAATTTAGACTCAAAGTCAACCAAATATTTAATTTTTATACTTAAAAAATTATTTTGGTCCAACAAATGTATGATATACAGTTGCATATTGTTGGTTGGATCAGCTATTTTGAAGACCGAGGAGGACTCTACCTTTTCTGCCTCTCTCTCTACCTCTCCACCTCCCCCTCCGCCTCCGCCTCCTAACCAAGACCAATAAAAAGAAAAGAAATGAAGAGAAGGAGTTCTATTGCAAGAATAGTATGCTAGATGATGAGCAAGTTGTTCGTGACATCCTAATCAAACCAAGAGTGTTTGGCTCATAGTTTAAGAATTAAGTATTGACCTATGATAATTTTGAAATAACAATATCAAATTGTGACACTTTTAAACATATTTATTAAATTATGATATTTTTAAAAAAACGGGTTTAACAACTACTATTTTTCATAAAAATAGGATCAATAACCCCGTCTTTTAAATTGAGATCAACAACCTTGCTTTTATTATTCCAACATGGGTTAAATTATTTACTATCAAGCTGTAAACCTACTGATTTACAAACAAACCAACAACAATGAGACACATCAATTATGTGGGTGGAGTCAAAAATTTTAATTTCGGACACATATAACTAATTTGCTAGTCGTTTGATTGGTAGTTGTAAACTCTTAGGTTTAACTTAATCTCTTTAATAAAAATAAGGTTAAAAAGTGTCATAATTTAGTAAGTAAGTTCAATAGTATTATAATTTGATATTTTTATTTTATAATAATTAGGGTTAATTACAAAATATCCCTTTCAAGTTTGGGTTATGTTTCAAGCAACTCATCTTGGTTTCAATTTTGACAATTTTCACCCTTCAAGTTTTAACATATCTCAATCACCCTATTACCGTTATCCTTGACCGTCTAATTTGACAGAAGTCAATATTAACATAATTAAAAGACCTATATACCCTTCAATCTTAAAAAAAAGGTAACAACCCAATCCTCCACAAGCAAAATTCGGTGAAAGCCAGAGAGTTTCTCCGATGAAAACCCAACCCTAACCATTTCTCTCCCTAATCAGCCAAACCCTAACCACTTCATTCTCCACATAAAAAGCTAGCGAGTTCCTCCGATAAAAATCAACCTTCCCTCAATTGGTGATTTTACCCAATAGCTTCCCCCCCCCCCCCGGATGAAAATCGAAACTGAAACCCACCCCTACTCCCAGCAATAGCCTCCAATAAGCCCAAACCAACGCTTCCTCCTATGAAAACCCCCCATTCTTGGGCGAAAACTATTTTACTCATCAACTACCCAATCATCCTTTCTAAGGTTGAAACCTCTTGCCACTAAATCTCCATCGTCATTGGTATATATATATATATATGTATGTATGTGAGAGAGAGACAAAGAATGCACCCTTCCTCCATCCGATCAGAATCACCATCGACCAGACCCATGTCGGCATTAATTAGAGGAAAAGAGCGAAATAGAGACCCAAAAGCACGCCACACCATTAGCACCGCTGATATCCACACCCATCTCCGTTGAAAATACAAACCCAACATCAGCATCACCCAATTTTGCTAGATATTGAATAGGTGGAGTCGGAGACCTTCGGTGGTTGTGGTGTTGCATTTACAGTGGTAAATGTTGATTGAATTTTGTTGTAGGTGTAGTATTTGCAATGGGTCTCCTTTCCTGGTTTTCTCTTTCTCTTTTGGTTGGCTGGGTTATGATGGGAGGTGGTTAGGTGATGCTGATGGTGCAATTTGGTAGCTAGTGGTGATGTTCGTAAAGTATATGGTGGCAAAAGGGGTTGGGGTTGGGGGTACCAATTGGATAATGAGAGGAGAGAATACGGGGATAATGTCAATTTTTTTTTGGTCAGACGGGATAATGCCAATAAAAAAGGTTAAAAAAGAAGAAGTTAAGTGTACAAAAATAATTTTAGAAATTTCTGTTTAATTCCTCTGTTAATTTAGTACATTGGAACACATTTTAACTTGAAGGGGACAAATTGTGGAAATTAAAATTATGAGGAACTGATTGAAACATTACCCAAACTTGAAGGAGGTATTTTGTAATTAACCCTTATAATTTATCGTAGATAGATTCTTAACTCTATCTAATTATCATAGTATAATAATAAGGGTTTTATTTAATTGGGATTTAGTTGTTCTCATATAAATTTGATAGTATTCAATGGATTTTTAAGCAAAGACAATGCAAAAAAAGCAAAATGTATAGTCATTTTTATTGTAGAATGTACATTGAGAGCTAAAAAGTTAATATTTTGTATCTTTTTTTTTTCTATGAGTAAGTTTTAATTTGGTTTTTTTTTGATAAGTTAAATTTTTTTTATCTTACTTAGCTCATTTATGTTCTTTTGCATCAAACAACCATATATTAATTAATGCCTTCGCTAATTGTTAGTATAATGGGATTAGTGAAGTAAATAAAACTTGGGATTGATTGAGTCACACATGGGACATATTTTTAATAATTGATTCAATCAAACATGGGGCATAATTTTAAGAAATAAATGTCAGTTCTATCTTGCTCAAGTCACGGTGATCAATCATTAAACTCAATAGAGTAATCAATGTAAACCTAAAGACCCTTAAATTAAAAAAATATTATTCTTATTACATGTGTTTCAATACTTCCACTCCTTTTTTTGGTCTCATAACAATATAATTGCAGAAAATTGTCTTTAATCTATGTTTTATTCAATTAACATCTATAAATAATTCAAGTTAAAATCTATCGTTCAGAATTATTTTTTGTTATGATAGGAAAAAAAAAATTCTCTTTTGATTCCATGGTTTATCCCTGATTATATTAGACTTTTATGTTAAAAATATCTTTGCCCGAAAATAAACAAGTCTAATTATACTTAATATCACATAACAACCAATCACACAAATATTACATAGATTTTCTCATCTGTACAGAACATACTCCTCCAAACCAGAACAACTCCCATTGATTCTCTCTCCTTCGCAAAACCAGAAAAGCTCTTACAGTAAGAGCTTTTTCTGGGTCTCCGGACATGGCTTCAATCCAATACGTCGTCATTCTTCTCCTCATCACCTTCAAATCCCTTTCTCTCTCCCAATCACGCCTGCAAATATCACCAGAAACTGATCACTCCTTACCCTTTAATCCTATCTCGATCAATCGGGAGATCCCAAAAGCCGACGCATCGTATTGTGACAGCTGGAGATTGTCCGTGGAGACCAATAACGCCGGAGCTTGGGTTCAGATTCCGGAGAGGTGTGTAGATTTCGTGGAGGAGTACATGACCGGCGATAAGTACTCGTCGGACATAGAGGTCGCCTCTGAATTTGCGTCGGAATATGCAAAGACGATAAACGTCGCCGGCGGCGGAAAGGACGCTTGGGTTTTTGACATTGACGAGACGTTGCTGTCTAATGTTCCTTACTATCAGGTCCATGGTTTCGGGTGAGTCATTTGATTTCAGCCGTTGATTCGTGGAAATTTCATGTATTATTCTTTGTTGATTGTAAGAAATTGTGATTGTTTCATTGTACTTTCTGTTGACCATTCAAACTCTGACACGTTGAAGCATGTTTGGTTAGATTAGGTTGTTAAAAATGAGGCTGCTGTAGTTGTTTTTGTTGTTTAATGTATTGTATTTATGTTGTCTTATTCCTAAGCAGAATTCTAGTTAGGCTTCGTTTGATTAGATTAGCGAGAGTGGTGAAAAATGGGGGAAAGAGACTCTAATACAAAATGTTTCTCTAACTCTAATCCGGTTTTTATTATTTGAACTTTTAAATATCCACAAATTCAATGTTAAGTGTTACTCTATCTAATTTTCTATGTTTAAGTGTTACTCTTATCTTTAATCTTCTTATTTAATAGATAAATTAAATGGATTGAGGAACGGGGGAGAGAGATCAAGTGAGTCTCTCTCCTTACAATTTCACTAGAGTTGTTTTTTTTTTCATTAGTCAGAAAAGTTCTTCGTCTACCGGGGACAGGCTGTTAAAAAACACCGGCGTAAATTCCATGCGTGTCATAGTCCCCGTGAATATAATTTCAATAGCCAAGTGCTCAAGCTAATCCTAATTTTATGTTTGTGAATTTGAAGCCTAAAGCAGTCTAATGTTATAAAGCATGCCTCTTCGAAGAATTTCTTCTTTTTCTTTTTTTTTATATTTTTTATTTGAATTAAGATTTTTCTTTTCATCTGATATGTTGCTCCATCATCTTTGATTATGGGCCTAAGTAGTTGAAGGGGCCAAGTTGTATAATCGTTTTGGCTTTCCAATTATACTTCACTTCCTCCTGCAAGACTGCCATTCCATTCCTCTTTGCTTGAAAAATGAAATATTACTATGCTTCCTTTCTCTGAGCCCCTAGACAACTGATGCTGCTCCCTAAGAAGAGTCATTAAGATAGAGAGATCCATTTAAAGGAAACTTGAAAAAATCCGAAAAAGATGTAGATGTGTGAACCTTAGTGTCTCCTTTAATCTATTCTCAACGAGAAGAACCAGAGTAGAAAAAACCGAGTAATGGATCGTGTCTGTGACTTGACTATGAATGGTGCATGATAGATGGCCACTTTTGACAGGCTGTGGTTTTATTAGCTTGGTTCCAGATTCATTGCTGTTGCAGAGTTCGTATTCTTGCGTAATCAGTAGCATTTTCATAGTTCTGAGAATTTTGCCTTCTTTGATTGAATGTAGTTGTGCTCGGCAAAGGACATGTCTTCACCTTTTTTGATGTTTTATGACAGATTTGGAATTTGGATACGAGGTTGGGTGATCTTTTGCTTATGAATGTATTTATATTAAACCTCTCTTTCATGACTTCATAATTTGAGCTCACTTTGAACTTTCTTTCTGGTCTGGAGAACATGTAACAGCTTGTCTAGATCTGGTATTTCTCAGTTCATCTGTTCGTCAAACCAGCAATTCTATTCTCGAAGTAAATAGAGAAAGCCTTTTTCTTTGTAACTGTATGTAGCTCTGCGAGTTAGTACTTAGGAGTGCATCATTGTCCTCTTTCATGTGTTCTGTTGGAATCTTAATACAAACTTTCATCTTTGAAGAATTGGCCAAAGAGCTTTCTCGAAGATCTCTCCACTGAAAGCTTCTACTTTTGAGCTTTGGGTTATGAAACATTCTCAAGAATCTCAAGGGATTTTCGCACTCAGTTGTTCATGAAATTTGATTTGAGTGATATCTTTCTGAACTCAAGATTCAAGGCCTAAGACTATAGTTTCCCGGCAAAATGACTTTAATATGGGAGGCTATCGATCTTGAAAACTGAATTATACTGCTCTAAGTGGGAAGACGACTACAGATACCATGAAATTTAACTAACACTAATTCTATTTTCAAAAAAAACTAACACTGATTCGAGGTTGAAGCTTTAGAATGTTTTGCCTGAGCATGAATTTTCCATCTTTGTTTGGCAGTGTGAGATTTGTGAATGTCCACTGCCTTTCTTCATAATCTTTTTGTTTCTTTTACTCTTATGCTTTAAACCTGTGTATTTCAGCAATATTTGTTCATTCAATTTCACACGTTCATGTTGGTTTAAGACTGCTGTTTCAAATGCAGATCAGAGATCTTTGATGAAAACTCTTTCAATGAGTGGGTAGATTTGGCTGAGGCCCCTGCCTTACAAACAAGTTTGAGGTTTTACAAAGAACTCCAACAGCTGGGATTTAAGGTATTTTTGTTAACCGGGCGAAGTGAATTTCAAAGGAACGCAACAGAGAAAAATCTGTTACATGTTGGATACAGAAATTGGGAAAGGCTTTTCTTGAGGTATAAAGCTAATGGTTTACGATGCTTAAATCTTATCAGTTACCACTCAATTTTTCGGAACTTCACCACACGAGAAAATTTATGGTCGAATGGAAATTTTCTTGATCTCTTATTTCTACAACTTTGATTGAAATTTCTACCAAACTGTTCTAAAAATGGGTTCAAAATAATTAGCGATGATGATTGTCTTTGTGAATGAAACAGGGGACCTGATGATATGGGTAAAAAGGCCAGTGTCTATAAATCTGAGAAGAGAAAGGAGTTAGAAGATGAAGGTTACACCATCCACGGAAGCTCTGGAGATCAGTGGAGCGACTTGCTCGGATTTGCAGTGGCCAAACGGTCTCTTAAACTACCAAATCCAATGTATTACATTGCTTAATGATAAAAAGTGAGAATTATACAATTTTATCACATCACTGTTATGATTTCTTAGCATAGTTCTTAGAGTTTCCATGGCCAATTAATCTGTTCTTGAGCTTTCGAGTGTTTTAATGTTACATCTTAGGGTCAGTGGACCTTCTGAACAGGTAGTAAGATATCGACAATCTTATACACGTCACCTTCTTGTACCACCTTTCTATACCACTTTGGTACATCACCTCAATTTAGACCATTAAATTAGTAGGTCTTACAGAGTTTATTAAATATTCAATGAATCTGATTGTGCCACATTAGGCGGTGTTCACAACATTATTCTTTAACTAACAACAAAATAATTTTGATGGGCCGACAGAATAGAGACGATGAGTGATTCTATTCAATCCACTGATACATTGTGAGGTCTAGTTAGGTAATTACTTGTTCTAAAATAGAATAAGAACGTCGATCACTAACATTTTTTGGATTTTGTGGCTGACGGGTGTATAATATATTGGATACGATTTCTTAAGTAATGTTATATAGCCAAATTTAAAATTCAATTAACGTGGTACACTCACATTCTTATTCCCAAAACAAATGAACCATTAATATCACAATATTTACAAAAATATCACCGTTACATCGTTTAATAAAAAATTCTGGTAGAATAGCATTCTACTCATGAGATTTGTGGAAAATTGTTGTCTTGATTTACCATATGTATTGAGATCAAGTCACATGCCCTAAAAAATCCCAACACCTTTTATTTCTTCCCCGGATGCCCTAATGTATGCCAAAATCCTCCGAAAGTTTCACATGAATTACCTCAAAGTTTTGCCAAATTTATTAAGCTGACCAATACCCTCTATTGAACAAGGTCTCATGGTGCTACTCCTAGAAGGATAATACCATCACCAAAATGGCACTGAATTTTTTTTTTTTTTCAACTGTTAGAGGTGTTTAAGTCAATTTACATGCACCTCAACCAAAAAATAACACTAAAGATTAGACTAAGAAGGATACTACCATAAACTCTGTGTACATCTGACATTGTTTAGTCCTAGGCCATGTTGTTTTATTCTTACAAAAATCAATCATCTTAGTTCTTAAGTTTTCATTGAAATGTAGTTATTGAGAGGTCTGTGTTGTTCCATACTCTACGTAGTGTTTAAGTCAGATATTTAGACTTTTTACAAGGGAATCATTCCTGTCATCTGTTTTACCTTTAATACGGGATAATTAAATAGTAATAGAAATGATACGTGAATTTAATTGTCTTGAGTTTAAATTTTAATAACCCCTTGAGACCAGGTGATAAATAATTTATCCCTTGTGAATACCCTAATTCCGGTGTAGATGACCTATTTTTAATTAGACCAATGAGAAAATTAATCGAGATACACATAAACTAACTTAGCCACCCTTGACTATTGAACCAAAAAAATAAAAAAAACTTAGAGCAAACTAAAAAATTAGGAAAAATATTATTTGAACTTAATTATAAATCTTATTTAGGGGACCCAATTGAATATAACTAGTTGGATCGAAAGTGAACTGCATCTAATTTTGGAACTCACATTTAATTTAATGACGACACTAAATTAAATTCTTGATTATGTCCCATAACATTGCTCACTAAATTAATACCTGGTCCATTCTGTTTATGTGTTATCCATACAAGGCAGACACAATAACTATAACCTATAAGAATTTCATGAAGAAATAAATTAGTAAGCTCTGAATCATAACTTTTTTCAGTTAATGAGAGACAACCATCACCAACCTGTCTTACAACACTGGTCACTGTGCTTCACCCGAAGCCCCCACCCCCACCCCGGTCTCCCCACAATCTCCCTCATGGAGGAGATGGGGATGAACTACTCTCTTGGGTTTTCAATAATGCCCCACAAACTAGAGGCTTTGGTGACGGAATTCTAAGACAACTCAGGCTACCACCAGGTACAGCAGAGCACTCTGGTTGAGGCCTTTGCATCTCCCTACCTGGAATACAATTCAAAGAGAAATCAAAACCCACATTTCTAAAGAACAGCTTGGCACATTCTTGGCTGAACCCAGAAAAGAAATTGTAAGCAACAGTCAAGTTTTCAAGGCTTCTCAATGAACAAATCAAATCTGGCAAAACCCCAGAGAGATTGTTGTGTGCCAAGTTAAGAACTTCAATCTCATTCAAACATGACACAGAATCTGGCAAACGACCCATCAGTGAATTGAAGCTCACATCAAACACTTGCAAATCTGTCCACAAACCAACCCCATCAGGAATGCAACCAGTCAACTGGTTGTTGAGGAATAAAATCTCCTTTAATCTTGGACTCATGTACCCAAAACTAAAGGGAATGTCACCACTGAACTTGTTGTTAGCCAAATTTATCACAGAAGCTGGGGAATTCCCCATATTTTGAGGAAGTTGCCCATCAAAATTGTTGTTGTTGAGAAAGATTGCATCAAGTTTTTTGTTGAAGAGACCTTCAGGAATGGGTCCCGAGAAAAAGTTGAATCTGAGGTCTAAGTAGAGGAGGTTGGGAATAAGCAGAGTTGTAGTAGGAAAGGACCCAGAAAAGTGGTTGTTACTGAGGTCTAATTCAGTCAGTGAGGTGAGTTCATTGAAAGATTCAGGAATAGTACCAGTGAACCTATTGCTGTTGAGGTGGATGAGAGACACGTCTGTGAGGAGAGAGAGTTCGTTGACAAGAGTACCTTGAAGATTTGCATGGTTGAGATCTATGGCTGCAACAACTAAACTTGTTGTGCCAACCATTGCATCTCGAGGTTCTGAACAAAAGACCCCTTTGTAAGAACACACATTTGAGCCAACCCAAGTGTTTAAAATCCCCAATGGGTCATCTGTAATTACAGATTTCCATGCTTGGAGAGCAGTGTAAGCCATGTTGAGATTTGATATTGAAGACCCAAAAGGGGTGGTTGGGCTGTTGGTTCCTCCACCAATCCAGACACCACCACCCCCACCACCTAGACTGCCAATAACACCACCCACACCTACACCTGCACCTACACCACCACCCACACTAAATGCAGCTTCTGTAGCGATTGTTTGAAGGAGAAATGCCAGAAGCCAGCTTTTCTCCATCTTTAGGTGAAAAATCAAAATACCTATTTTGATAGTGTTCCTTGTAAAGTTGTGCAAATAAGGTTGGCTTGTAGCATTGATGAGATAAGACAAGATGGTGGGGGTTAATTGGTCCCGAAGATAATTTATTACTTAATTAATACTATACTACCAAAGTTGTCAACTTTCCATCTAATCAAAAATATTTTGATCAGTATTTGATGAATCCAAAAATTATATAAAATTATTAATTTATTTAATAAAAACAATTTTTAATAAAAATTGTGGTATTTATGTCATTTCATTTATTACTTATAAATGACTCTCTTGAGTTATTTATCTGTGTCTTCACTTCTGGGTAATTCGGCGTGACTGTTAGAAGAATATAGCCTTTTTTGTACAGAGTTGACTAGTCATTTCCAAGTGTTTAGTGGGTGAAAAAACAAAAAGACTTACGAATGTTTTTCCTGTTTCAACGAGTCGAATTTTGTAAGCGTAAGTGAAATTTGTTGAGTTTATTTTTTAAAAAAAGTTTAAAAAATTATTTAAATTTAAATTATTTATAAAATAAGTTGAGTCCAAGTAACTTGACTATTTTACTCGTAAAATTTACTAAATTTTACGAATTTGTACCAAATTTTTTAAGTTTCATTTTAAAACAAGTCTAAAAAATTATTCAACTTGTTTAGAGCTGAGTTCAAATCGAATTTTTCTGAATTGAATAACTGATCATCCCACTGTAAGAAAAAGGAAAATGGAATCAAAAACAGGGGAAATGATAACATTTTCTAATGCATATGAGAAAATGTCTCATTTTTTTTTTCCTATTGTAAGGAGGTCAAACACAAGATTCCTAGCAGCCCCATGATCCAATTTGAGACCAAGCACAGACAGTGTTGAACCAATCATTTACTCCCTTCTTTTGGTTGTTTGTTTGTTTTTTTTTTTAACTCGAAATGGTTCTTTTTCTCTTAAAAAATCTTTTAATTCTCTCGAACACATGTAATTTCTGGTCTTACATGCATCATTTCATTAGAGGGAGGGACACAACCCATTGACGAAACTCTTAGCATTTGACAATGTTCGACCATATCACCTCTACTTTCGGGATATAGTTGAACATTGTCACATAAAAATTCTAAGAGTAGTTAAAGTAATAATAAAACGAGTCGTAAATTTAAACGTTTTAATTTTGAATCTTAACAATTTTTTGTGGTCAAATTATACGAGATTTATCTTTTAGGAATATCATAATCTTGACGTAAATGACTTATCTTTGACCAGACATAAGAGAAAACGAAATGTAATTAAATAAGTGATTGTTGAAAAAAAAAATTATCACATGGTGAATTTATTTAAACTTGGTCTAATTAGTCAAAAATTGGTCTTGCATCCATTTGAAAATGGTAGGCAGACATGGAAATTATCTTCATGTGATTGATTGCGGAAGGACTAAAGTGTATGCTTTATGATTTTTTGCCTCATGCTAGTAACATGCAATGACAGCAATGTTTCTTCTTAATGATGGCAAAGTCAAAGGTTGGGAAAATGATTTTTTGTTTTCCTTTGAAAAAAAAGGTTGCTGCTTTATAATCCACCTCCTATTGGATGACAGCTATCTCCTATGGCCAGTTAGGGTCAGAACTAGTTCTATTTATCATAAAAATTTAATCTATATTATTGATTTAATGACGAGACTTTAGTGAAATTATTGGATTAATATTATATTTAATAAATTAGATCAATAAATTATATATCAATAACATTATTCAAATTAAAACACATAATAAAAGTTTGGTGCTCCATTTCAACAACCCCAATTCATGTGGATAAGACTTATAATTGAGCCGAATTACTTAGATTCAGTTCAAATTGAATTCGTTTCGAGCTCAGCTGAATCATCTAATCTCAAAAATTATAAATAACCTTCAAAATTTTACAAAAAGGAAAGTGCAAAATTTTTACAAGACGTACGGTAATGTAGTTTTCTCCTATAATTTTACATGGCCAGGACAACTTCAAGTACCTTCCCAAGTTTTGCATTGTTGTAGCCTTAGAGGTGAATTTCTCCAAATTAAAATTTTTCCCTAGTGAAGAATCTTTTGGATAATTTGATTCATCAATAAGAATAAATATGAATAGATGCAATCACATTTAAATCAAGTATATCCAAGTAATCAAACTAGATATCAAACTTGTGATTTCAAGATAGAACTCTCGATTTGATTTTAATTAGCAGTATTTCGTGCAATGCACGATCAATAACATTTGTGAATTCATATTATTCATATGAAATATATCCACACTAAAAGTTACTTTCTTTGAATATAAAATGTAATATCTCTAAACTAACATAATAAAAAATCATCACAGGGTGACAAAGAATATCAACATACCATCCATAATGTAACAACCACTAAAATACCATACAAAGAAAAATACCTTCACTCTCACATTCTACACCAACATCCATATAAGCTTGGAAATAATACATTCTTTTGTCGTTGGGGGCATGAACTATTGAAGTCAGTAGAACTCTCTCTTTCACAGCCCATGAGAGATCCAAATTGAACCTCTGACATAGTAAGTTAAGAAAGGCCCCAAAAAGTAAAACTTTATAGCAAAGTGCCACCAATTTGAGTTTAGATCTATGTAATTTTTTATTTTTGGGTAAATGAATCTATGCAATTGATATTGCCTGTATTTTAATGTATACATAAAATTCTTTTTAGACCATTATTCCAATTGTGTAAGCGTCCATAACTTTTAAAAATATTGAATCTTCTTTACATTTTATTATCTTTTTTTTATTATTAGATAGGCAACTATCCTACTAACTTGACACTCTGGCCCCTGAATTTCTCTCTATTCCATATTGACAACCACACGACACATAATTCAACTAAAATTCCAAAATATAAAATTCAAATCACATCAAGAAGTAACACGACAGTTTCACCAAAGTGAAAAGTCAATAAAAAAGGCAAGAATGTCGATACTAATATAAACAGAGTAAGCCCAAGCATTGACGGGAAAAAACACAGATTTCAATGACTTTGCACATAGTTGTGCACTCTATTTTCACCACAATTGGGGATTCTTCTTATCAATCTAATTGTGTTCTTTGCCAGTTGGAGACAAACTTGATGATACTCTTGCAAACAGAAACTAGCCCAAAGTAAATGGCAAATTAATAAATAATAATTCTGGAAACTGAATAAAAAATGTTAAGCGTACGACATATTAATAATGTAAGGAAGTTACCGAAATAAAATGTTATGAGCCATTTTATTTGGTAAACACTCTTCAGGTTGGAGAGATAGAGATATATGAAAAGAAAATGGATAAGAAACCGACCCTAAACAACTACTTATGTTTATATTTCAAAAATTGATGATAGACTACTTAAAATTTGAAAAAAGAATTAGAAGATCTAGAAGTTACAGAAAGATAAAAGAGTGAGAGATGGTTAAGAAGGAAAAATTGATGATAGACTTCTTAAAAATTTGAAAAAGAAATTAGAAGATATGAAAATTACAAAAAGATAAAAGAGTGAGAGACGAGTGAGATGAAAAAATTTATGATAGACTGCTTAAGATTTTGAAAAAAAGATTAAAAGATGTGAAAGTTATAGAAAGATAACAGAGTGAGGGACAGATAAGAGGAAAATACAGAGAAGATCAATTAGGTGAAACCATGTTAGTTTTTAGTAATTTTAAAATAAAAAATCTAGAAAATTAGGATCGACAGAATGGAGGCTTCTCCACACTTGCGGATACATTGTAATATGGTATAGAGATTCGAACCCTAATTCAACCCTCAGCTAACTCAACATGAGTTTTAACCATGTTCAAATGATGAACTTAGTTAGACAAATAGGGTTGACATTAGATTCAATTTGCCTTTGATTTTCTAGTTACACTTTCCTTAATAGAATTGGGGTTGAACTCGAATTAAAACCCAACGTGATTATCAAGTATATAATCTACATACTATAATTCGAGCTCAGTTCAAGTTCAACTCATGTTGAACTCAAATTCATTTCTTTGGAGTGGGTTCAAATTGAATTATAATATACCAAACCCTAATCCAAGTATCGTTTGAAATTAAAATAGATCGAGATTTTTTCAAAATCCAACTCCAATATTAAAAATATGGGATAATTACAAAAATACCCTATTCAAGTTTGGATCAAATTGTAATCAACTCCCCCTGGTTTAAATTTCAACAAATTTCCCCCTCAAAGTTTGTACATTTGTAATTAACTTATACTGTTTGTTTCAATAATGAAAATTGAAAAGAAAAAATTACTCTGAATTTGAATTTTTGCACTCACATAAAAAAAAACTCCTACTTCTTCTTCTCAAGACAAAATGATGTGAAGGGTGATATTGGCTCGCCGTAGAATTTGATCATATGACTTGTAAATGTTTATTTTTTGTCATTTTTCATTTTCAAAACTACAACTTGACTGAATTGATGAATATTCAAATTTTAAGCAAGTAAATTGTTGAAACAAAATCAAAGGGAGTTGATTGAACGTGACCTAAATTTAAAGGGGGGTATTTTGTAGTTAACCCAAATATGGGTTACTAAGAATATTTGTCCTAATACTGAATGGTTTAGGTTGTATTTACTGGCAAGTAACGGTGGTGGAAACCCAAGATTGTCTCCTCATTGGCCTAGCAGTGGAAAAAATTGAAACCTTAACATTTTGTCCTTCAATTGTTGGTGGCCCTTTCTTGAGGAAGTGTGCTGCTTTGTGGGTGAAAGTGTGCTGATTTGGACCCGTGGTGGAGGTGTTCCTAAGTGGGTGAGTGTGTGTGTGTGAGTTTTATCCTTTGATCATGAAGAGGTGTGGGCACCATCCATTAGTCTCATACACATGCCTCTTTGTGGGTCGGCGTTAATGTTGCGTCCCACTTCTCTCTCTCTCTCTCTCTCTCACTCACACACACACACACACAGACATTCAAGCCGTGTGCATAAAGTATAAAGCAGGTTTATTGTATTTGAATTTC